ACACTTAGAGTAGTTTAGGACTTTGTTTTTTATTTGGCCGTACTATTAAGGGAGGTATGCACTAGTAGCTTGACCTAGGTGAGTCTCATAGGTTAGGTGTGGTGCACACTTATCAAACTTAGCACTAGGTAACTCAGGAATAGTCCAAAGATCAATTGGTTTTAACCTCATTCACAAAGAATTTTAAATTGGAAGTGAATGAAGGGTCAAATGTTGACCGGACGCTGCTTTAGTGATGATCGGACTCACAGGTGCAGCGTCCGGTCAGTGATCAGCGCGCACAACAGAAGCCGAGGAGCGACCGGACACTGCATAGTGATTGGAACCGGACGTGCCTCTAGTCGTACCTGTAGCAGCAGGGCCTCGCTGTCAAGGAGGACCGGACGCTAAACAGTAAACGAGCGGACGCTGAGTTTGCAGCGTCAGGTCAATATCAGAGAGGGTCCAGAGACCAAAATTTCTGACCAGACGCATCTAGTGGATGTTGATCGGACGCTGGCCAGCGTCAGGTCACTCTAACAGCCTTCCCTGACAGGCTGACGCCATGTAGCCGTTGGCTACTGACCGGACGCGTCCAGTCACTTCGACCAGTGTGTCCGGTCACCACAAAAACTGCTGAGTTGGACAATAACGGTTATGTTTTAAAGTGAGGAGTATATATACTTCTCCTACTCGTCGAACTTAGCTCTCTTGCACATTTGTTCAGCTGAGAAACACCTTTGGAGTGCAAGGGAGAGTAAGAGCCTAGTGGGGTGATTGAGATTTGTTAATCTAATATTAAGGACCTCATTAGTGCATAGGGAGTAGCTAGTGTCCATTCATCTTTCTCATTAGGCTTGTCTTGGTCAAGTGAGAGTTTGTGCTTGTTACTCTTGGTGATCGCCATCACCTTGATGGCTCGGTGGTGATTGGAAGCTTGGTGATCATCTGACGGAGCTTGTGGAAGACCCAAGTCATGGTGTGAATGGTTGTGGGCGATTCACCGCGACAGAGTGTCAAAGAATCAGCCCATAGAGAGACTTGATCCTTGCGTTGATCAAGGGGGGATACGCCCTTGCACGAATGCTCCAACGAGGACTAGTGGGGAGTGGCGACTCTCTGATACCTCGGAAAAATATCACCGTGTTTCTCTCCTTCTCTTTACTTTGAGCATTTACATTTGAGAAATTCAATTCGTGCCTTTACATTCTTAGAATTATCATGCTAGAGTAGAATTGGAATCTAGGGTGCAAAACTTTTATTGTGCGGTAGAACAATAGAAATACTTCTAGGCACAAGAGGGTGAAATAGGCTTAGTGTAGGGTTTAATTATCGAAATAAATTTAGAATTAGCCCAATTCACCCCGTTTTTAGGCATCTTGATGCTTTCACTTGTTTACTGTTACCCTTCATTTGGATTGGGTCGTTAAACTTGACACCTATTTGTTTTTAGTTTTTCGCAAGAGTTGATTTACTTGATATTAGTTAGGCCTCATTTAACAGGGTTACGAATCCTTGGTTACAAGAGGCTCAGTAGCACCTCAGGTCCTGGGTTTGACTTCCCGTGGAAGCGAATATTTCATGATTTATCGGCGTTGTGCTTTTAGTGGTAGCCTGTGGTGACTTCATCAATCTCGAGGATTTCTCGGCCCAGTCTTCAAAAGATGCTCATATAGGTAGGGTTTGTGTGTGCGTGCGTTCATAGAGGTGAGTGTGCGTCCGTGAGTATCTGTATTGTACTTCGTAATTCGCAAAAAAAAACCTAGCAAACCCCGGAAGTTTGTCTCTGATTAGTGTATGGTTTGGCTTACCGACGACAGGCTTGGATTGCACTTGATGTGCAGTCCAGCACAAATAATTCTTTTTTTTTTGTTTTGCTAATGGCACGTGACTAATATCTTGGTTTTGCTAATGACATGCAACTAATATTCTGTTGATTAAAACAATTGTTTTTGCTAATGACATGCCACTAATATTTTAGTTTTGTTAATGACATGCCACTAATATTTTGGTTTTGCTAATGACGTGCAACTAAAATATTCTGTCGGTTAAAACAACGTAGTCTGATTTTTTTTTATAGCTAGCCCAAATCTATCACGGTTAACTCGGATACTTGACATTCTATCAAAAAAAACTCTGATACTCGACACTAAGAGCATCTTCGAGAGTCTTTTTAAATCTCACTCTCTAAATCATCATTTGGAGAGTTATTTACATAAAAATCGTTTTCTATCTCTTTTCACTCTCTAATAATTTTTCTATATCTCATGCGCACTCTAGAGAGCCATTCTCATCTTCTATTTTTGGTTAGCGAAAAATTCAAAATACAAGATGACTATATTTAGGTAACCATTCAGAGAGGCTGTTGAAAGGTATTTTTCATCAAAATCTATATTTCTAGTATTTAGAAAGGATACAGAGAGTCTCTTGAAGTTGCTCTAATATAACTCCTATAGCACTTAGAGCAACTCCTATAGCCTCGCTATCCCATCCAGCTTCGGCAAATCTCTGAAAAACAGACGTGAAATTCACCACAGGTTCTTCAAGTTATCTGCAGGTGTTATATAAGTTCTTAAAATTTTGAAAACATTTTAGGTCCTTGAAGTTAGTTCGAGACTTATTAAGGTCAAAACCGGCGTTTACCTAACCTATTAGCTAACGTGGTATACTGATTCAATGCTTACATGAATCTGACGGATCGGATCCACATGTCAGCGGCAAGCCAATCATATTTTTTTCACACGATCTTGGATGAAGATAATTTTTATACGAAAATAGCTCTCGATGAGATCTATAACTTTCTTGGTTGAGGTTTTTTCATTTGAGATTGTTAAGATACTCAAAAAATATATTATAAAATTTTAGCAACATATTAATCACGCATAACACTTGTTGGCTTATAAAAATCATATCTTTCTTGTATGGTGCCAGATAAAAATACTTTGTATATAAAAAATGTAGGACTCGATAAGATGTACAAATTTATAATTTTGAATGTTGTTATTTGATATTGTTAAAATGATAAAAAAAACTAATATAAGTTTTATTAGTATATTAATTGCGTACCAAGCTTGTCGCCTTAGAAAAATCATATATTTCTTATATAATGTCCGATAAAGATATTTTGTATATAAAAATTATAGCTCTCGATGAGATCTACAAATTCTTAGGTTTGAATTTTGTCATTTAAGGTTGTTAAGATGCTTAGAAAAATAATATAAATTTTTGTCAACATATTAATCGTCTACCAAGGCTTGTTGCTTTTGAAAAATCATATCTTTCTTCTACGATATCGGACAAAGATACTTTTTGTATGAGAGTTGTAGCGCTCGATGAGATTTAAAGCTTTCTAATTTTAAGTTTTTTCATTTCAAATTGTTTAGATTTTTTAACAACTTCAAATAAAAAAATTAAAACAAACCTAAATAACTTCAAATAAAGAAACTCAAAACTTTAAAGTTGTGGATCTTATCGAGCACAACAAGTTTTGTATAAACAATATATTTATTCGACTACATAAAGAAAAGGTATTATTTTTCTAAGACGATAAGCCCTAGCCCCGGTACGCGATTAATAAGCTACCAAAACTTTATATTATTTTTTTACCATCTTAATGACCTAAAATAATAAAATTCAAAATTATGAATATGTATATAGCATTGAGAGTTGTAATTTCATATACAAAGTATCTTTATTCTACACTATACAAGAAAGATATGATTTTTCTAAACCGATAAATTTGGTAACGATTAATATGCTGCTAAAACGTTATAATATTTTTTGTGCATCTTAACGATCTCAAACGGAAAAAACTCAACGAGGGCTACAATTTTCATATAAAAATCATCTTCTTCCAAGGTCGTATGAAAGTTTTTTTTTAAGATTGGCCTTGCCTCTCACATGTGGGTCTGATCTGTCAGATCCATGTAAACGCCGAGTCAGCATGCCTCTCAGCTATAGGGTCGGATAAACGCTCGTTTGGATCTGGATGAGATCTGAACTAACTTCACGAACAAAAAACACATTTTGAAACTTTGCGGAACTATATGATGTCTCCAGACAACTTCAAGGACCTCCGGTAAATTTCACTAAATACGACTCCAAGAGCCTCGTCTCAACGCCATCTCTAGAGGACGCTATCTTGTATTGTATATGTCATTGAGCAAAAGAGGTAAGGGGTATTGACTCGCCATCTGGTGCACCCCTTTTCCGTGCATGCCTTGCCTTCCTACGTGCGCTCGTTCCTCTCCCTGCATGAGCAGGGGCTGAGCTTAGTTGAGGCCAAAGCGGGCCTTGCCATCCTTGCCATTGTTTTTAGCGATCATGTCGAAGCACGTTTTTCATTAAGCAGAAAGGAGTTTTGTTATAATCCTTATGGCCACGGTAATCCAAGGTTACCGAAGCCAGAAGCTACACAAGCAGAGCATAGCACGCGAGTGTGATTACACAATCATGAATTTTGCGACAAAGAAGAGCTACTCTGGGATCAAGTCTCCGCCATCAGGGTCCTTAGGTGCTTGTAGCCAGCCAAGCACCAGGCGTGTATCTCCTCCTGAATGACCACCTGCAGCCATGCCGGCGATGTAGTATCCCTGTCGAAAGTCCTCGCGTTTCTCTCCTTCCAAATCAACCATCCGATGAGAAAGAAGAGGGAGTCGAAACCACGGCGAGCGGCCTTAGGGACTAGTTTTCTACAACGCAGCCACCACTGCATAACCGGCTCCTCCTGTACGACAATAACTTTCTGAAGATGAAGCTTCCTGAGCCAATGATCCCAAACTTCTCGGCTGAAGCAACAGCCAAGCAAGATGTGTTCCATCGTCTCAATTCCTTGATCGCAGATAATGCAAGTGGCGGAGTATTGCAATCCATGCCGAAACCTCCGCTCGGCCGTCCAACATCCCCTCACGACATTGCGGCGTGCGCGACCGTTTAGTCCACGCACGTTCTAGACGAAGCATGTGGGCAAAGACGACATAAAGAAACAGTTGTGCGACGGTAGAAACATGGGACGCCAGAGACTACGTCTCAACAGTGTCCAACTCAGCCATGTCAAGGCCCATGGCCATCGGGTCGAAGTCGCTGTTAAAAAAGATCTGCAGTGCCTGCTGCTTGTTGGCCGACATGTTGCCCCCACGGAACGTGGCCTTGAACTTCCGCTCGATCTCCAGGTCTGGTGCGCTGGTATCCACATGCACCCCGAGCTTCTTAAGTAGCACAATCTGTGCTTGCCTGGTGGCGTTCGCCGCCCGCGGCTTTGCTGCAAGCCGGCCGCTGCGGCGCAGGGAGCCAACGGAGATCGGTGTGCGGGAACGACGAAGGCATGGCCTGCTGCGAATGAGGGGGGACTGCAAGGGGACGCAGATCATGTCCTCGAGCTCTTTCTGAATGGCGGCTTCGTCAGGCTCTGCCTCCACGCACGGCTCTGCTTGTTCAGCGGGGGGAGTAGTATCGACGACGGCGGGTGTAGCATTCCCGGCCTAGGCGACATGCCCGGATTTGTCTGCGGGGGTAGCCGGTGACGCGACAGTCGCAGCGACGTCCTGCTCAGATGCGTCGGCATCATCCGGCCCAAGCAAGGCAAGGAGCCCACTGCTACCCACGCGAACGCCCAAGCTGCAATCGTCCTGCTCGGAGGCGTCGGAATCTTCCGGCCCAACGAAGGCAAGGAGCCCACTGGTACCCACGCGAACGCCCGGGCTGCAATCGAAGTGATCAGCAATAAAATGACTCGCCAACATGGGCTGGGCCAGACGCACAGGTGCCAGCTCCGGCGAAGAGAACGACCCATGGCAAGCCATCACAGAAGGCCTCGTCACAATCCCGGCCTCAATCAGCATCGGATCCTACACTTTTAGTCAAAATTAATGAGGTCGGCCCCCCTCGACTTGAGCTCAAGCTTCGCGCACTACGCGTGAGTGCATGACCATGTCGTTGGGGCAGAGCATCTTGAGGTTCTTCGTGGATGAAGAACTCATTCGGGCTATTTTCCTACCGATTGATGCCAAATGCCATACATCGGATTCCTCTCCGATCGCAGGACTGGTGGGCATGGGAGCCGGAGAAGCACGGTGAGTACATTATAAGTCAGCTTACAGAAAGTTGGCGGCACCGCGGTTCACCCAGGCTAGTGCTTCAGTCCTGGAAACGAATTTGGAAGCTAAAGGCACCGCCGAAGGTGAAGGTCTTCTGGTGGCGTGTACTACATGAGTTTGTTCCAACAAAAGACATTATATTCTCCATGGCGCCACATCGAACCGACAAGTTTTTGTGAAGTATGTGGGTCGGATAGGGAGACCATTCAGCATACGTTGACTGAAAGCTCACACAAGAGTGTTTTAGTGGAAAATGAAAGACCTGAAGGGGGTCAAGACGGGCTACACGCCTACACCTGGGCGAGTGACGTGTTGAAGGAGGACTTCTGTTCTGATTCTGATCGCAGCATTATCATCATTGGAATGTATGCATTGTGGATGCAGCGGAACAAACATCGACATGGTGATATCCAGTTGCCGCTGAGGATGGTTGTTCAATGGACCATCGACCTGGCTCATGACCTGTGGCAGCTTGCCAAGCCACCAAAGAGGCCGGCGGTGGGGGCGTCAGGAAGCCGAAGTAGAGACCACCGCCGGAGGGCTGTTCAAGTGTAACTTTGATGGGGCTTTCTATCCATCCCTTGGCCAGGGAGCGACCGGAGTGGTCATCTGGGATCCGATATGAAACTTCAGCGGTGGAAGAGCAAAATAGCACCCTTTCTACCTGGATGCTTTGACGATGGAAGCCATAGCGTTTAAAGAAGGCATGATACTAGCTGGCGTCTTGGGTCTTCGCAAAGTGAAATTTTACTAGCTGGCATCTTGGGTCTTCGCAAAGTGAAATTTGAAACGGATAGCCAAGAGTTGGTGAAGATTCGGGAGATGGGAGAGCTGCAGCGCTCACGTATTTCTCCAATCATCAGGGAAATCTGAGATATTAGTGTTTATTTTCATGATTTTTCACTGATGTATGTTCAAAGATCATGTAATGATGTAGCCCATAGTCTAGCTAAGCAAGTCTTAGATAGCAACAGGGTGGGTGAGTGGCAATTCGCCCCATCCTGTATCGCTAATCTGGTGACTGAAGATTGTATTCTCGTTGCTTTCTGATTAACCATGGATCGCTGTCGCAAAACAGAGGTTCTTAGTGGATGCATCAGCAGTCAGCACAGGAGGTTCCGTCTCTGGCGGCCGGCTAAACAATGGTGATGACGTCTGCGACATAGTGGCCCGGTTTTGCCGCCATGACGGCCCTGGCCAGCAGTGTCTAGTAAATGTGCTCTCTGTGGCCATCACCCGGCTGTTGGATGAGCACAGTCGCTGCCTGGCAATTGCCATCAACGAGTTCATCCCCACCATTGACTCATTGAGGGTGAGAACAACATCTGCTACATGCATCTGAAGAGGGCCGGTTCGTCGTTTATGCAACGCGCTCACCGGTGCGCAGCCGCTCGACGCTAGAGTCGATTGGGGAGTCTGCGCCTCGGGTGGCTGCAGGGGACCCACTCCGTACGCTAACATGGCAAGCTGATTGTGGATGTAGACTCCACATGTGAGTCCCTATGTTAAACTATCTCAACAACACAACCTAAACGCAAAATAGAGTGTTTTGGATAAAAATCACGCTCCAACAGAAAACCCAAACAGATGACGCATTTTGCGTTTAAGTCGAACAAAAACGCAAATAAGCGTCTCGAGAGAGACAACGCAAATCTCTGGAGCCGGATCTCGAAGGTGTCGCTCGAGGTGGGGACGGAGGCGGCTCGCGCGGCGCCCCCTCCCGGCAGCAGCAACAGCCGACGCAGCACCACCTGCAAATCCAAATTCACCAGCCGCCACAGCGAGGAGGAGGAGGAGTGGTGTGCTGTCCGGTTCCTGTTCGTCCGGCCATGAGGCCCGCTGGCGGTTGCCGCGGGAGCGGGCTGCTGGTTCTCGGCCTCGCGCTCTGGGTCTCGGCGGCGCTGCTGCTCCGTGGCTGCGCGGGGCAGCAAGCGGAGGAGGACGGCGCGGACGCCCCGGCGGCGGCGGCGGCAACGGCCCCCATGGAGGAGAAGGAGCGCAGGGCCCTGTACGCCACCATCGAGAGCTTCGTCGCCAAGGGGTGGAACGGCTCCGGGCTCTACCACGACCCCTGTTGGTCTCCCATCCAGGTGCGCCCCTACCTTCCTGCCTGCGTGCCTGCGCTTTCCCTTTCACATGTATCTATGCTGCTGTGCTATTTGATTTCCTGCCCCGCGTATGTTCATCTTCATCGTGTTCTTCATATACATGAGAGAAGTTTTTCTCTTTGTTTGTTTTTCGGCTTTGCCCGTCCTCGTCACATGCCCTTTCTCGGTGCTCCCCTGCTTGCGTGCTTTGAGCTCCAATCCAAAACCGTCCGCGCGAAGGGGCCGCGCGCCTCGCCAGATCTCGCGCCGGAGCTCGCAGCTCGGTGGCCGGCCGCGGGGAAGACGAAGACGGAGGAGCAAGCGGCACCGGACGGAGAAAACTGGGAGTGTTCTTTTGAGTTCGCTGTTGGAGAAGGAAGGTTTTGGGTGCGTGACCCTTTTCTGTACGTGACTCAAATCATGGAATAGGTCTTGTGTTTGCGTTCTTACTGTTGGAGATAGTCTTAGTGCAATGTGTTGCTGTTTTTTTTTTCTTGTCCCCTTTTTCTCTCTCCCTCTCCTTTCTTGGTCTCTGAGCATAGCTGCCACGCTGTCCACCATGTCCTCTCCCACTTCATTGGAGCGGAGCGTGAAGGACGAGGCCAGTGAGTCGTGCGAGTGGGTGTCTCCGGGGTGAAGCCACCCGGTCAGGCAGCCACGGCGCTATGCAGGCTCTTTGTCCCCAGGCATGCGCGAGAGAAAGGCGCTATAAGGGCGATAGGCTTGGCTACCGTACAAAGAGGAGTTGAGTGGGCTCAACCATGGCGAGGACCCGACGGCAACATCAGCGCAAGTGAATAGGTGTTGGGTGTGGGTGCAGTAACCATAGAGTTGCCATCAGCGGAGGACGAGGTCACGTTCACCACCGAAGTGAAGCCGACGTTCTCACATGCTAGGTTCACGTCAATGCACAGTCAGTGTATGGAATGGTTAAGCCTACTAAGTTTAGGATCCAGAAATATTATTTTAGGAGTTTGAAGACAAATATGACATTGCCAACTATGTTTAGAAACCGGTCGCGAATTTTTATTTTTACATAATGTATTCTCTCAAGTAGCGTGCTGCCAATAATAGCCTTGTAGCCTCTTTCCTCTGGAACTGAAAGGGCCGCCGGAGTGAAAGCATAGGAATGAATTTTTCTTTCGAGATCAATAAGCTCTTGCAGGCTTATAGTTCGGTACGCACATACCTTTCACAGCCTGCCTTACTGCAACTCTTACAAATTGATGGAACGGAAAGTCCTGATCCAAGTTGAGCACATCCATGCACGCACGCAAGAGGCAAGACGGTGGTCTCCGACGTGTCGTAACGAGGAGTGTAAGGACCGGCGGCGGTGTGGACTTGGTTACATAGCAAAAACAAGGCGATTTCTGATTAGCTAGGTAGCCTAATAAATCAATCACTTTTAATCCTGATAGCTAGGATAGTCGACACGACAATATAACTGTATGTGGTAGCCGCCGCAGGCCTTTCTGACCGTGCCATGTCAGTGGCAGAAGGTTTTTGCCTGCCTTCAAGGCGAACGCAAAGCCACCCGGCGACGGGGAGGGAGCGGAGAGGACGTGGCAACCACCGCGGCTGCCGACCCACCGGCCACGGCCGGCGCTCCACCTGCACGGGCTGGCGCGTACGGCCCACCACTGCTGCGCTGAAGGACATGCAGCGAGCCAACAGGAAAGCTCTGTAGCAGACGTGCCGGGAGCCGGGGGCCCGCAGACGGGCGGCGACGCCGACGCGAGGCAGGCCGCAGGCCATCATGACTCATGCGCGCGCGCAGGGCACGGCACGGCGCAACGGCCGCGCGCGGGTACGCGTCGCCCTCAGCCGCGTCGGCGCCGCACAGCAAAGCTGCGGCCGATGCTTCGCTAGAAAGAAAACGGCAGGCGCCGCGCCGCGAGCAGCAGTCATGATCCGCGTGACCGCGTTGGAAGCTCAACTGCCGGCTGCCGGATGGCGGAGGTCACGGAGACGAAGAAAATCGTCAGACATGCAGTGAATGGGCTTCAGTTCAGTGGCGTGTGGGACAGTTGGTCGCTGTGTGCTTGGTGTCAACGCATTTTTTTAAGGGTCGACTGACTCGGGCAAGTCAACGGCGTTTCAGGGACCGCCGGTGTTCGGTGGTGGTGGGCGCTGGTCCTGCAGCAGCTCGGTGATGCAAGCATGGATCAAGCAGCACAGCTAGCAGTACTGTGATACAGTATGAATAAATGGAGAGATCGTTGGTCGTTACATGTACGCATTATTAACGGCTAGTGGTTGACCATCGGGCTCCACCCCGCTGTCGTGCGAGTCAGGCCTCGTTAGTTGCGCTGAAATTTGATTTATACTAATAATTATGATGATTTGTTATGAGAGAAAAATATTTTTGTTGATATAGTGCTGCAGTTAACTACTGCCAAACGTTTATATGGATGGATGGAGTTTGTTAGAAGTCCATATATTTAGCGTCTAAGAATTCGGGGAAAAAAACTCGACGAGCTCTAGTATTGTAACGACTAGCTTATACGGATGATTAATGAGCCCCCGAATGAGACGCAAGAGTTTTTTTTTTTTGTACGATCCAATCATGCTAGCATACTACGGTCCGTATTTGGTCACTTTCGCAATAAGATTTTGAAAGGGACCCCAAACTATTACGTCATGTTCGTTTATGCTTGTTTGGCTGATAAGTCATGGCTGAAAGTACTGTTGGCTGATTTTGTGTGAGAGAAAAATATTGTTCGTTGGCTGAAAAAGTACGATTTATAAGCTAAATAAGCCCAAGCGAATAAGGCGTATGATGATGGGCGAGTCAAGCATGATTGAGAGAGCACAGATTATATGCCATCCACAAGCCTAGTACTCGTGCACCCTGATGAGCAGCACCACATGGCACTACGGCCTAACTCGTGCTCTGTTCCACGGACTTATGGGTTTTAGATGGAGCTATGCAAATAAAGGGATGATCTGTCAACGCTGTATAAAAGCATATATATATATAAGGATATTGGGCACCCAAAAATCTTGTCAGTGCACGAACACGCGTGCTCTGTTGGTCCTGGTGTCGGTAATAGCCTTTGCTCTGAAACTGAATAGGAGGACCGCAGGACCGACTCTGCCGACCGAGACGAGGAGATGCGATGACAGCTCTGGTAGGTTTGGCCTGTGGATGGTAGACCCCTACTAGTTCGGTACGCGCATGCCTTTCACGGCCTGCCCTACTGCAACTCTTGATCGAAATTTAATAGGATTCAGTTCACTTTTGGCCCCTCAACTATTGTGTTGGTTTAATTTTAACCTTCAACTATAAAACCGTCTAGTACCGATACCTTAATTGTCAAAACCGTTCATTTTTAGCACATGGGCGGGGACAAGGCTGTTTTGACCGACGTTGATCGGTTTTGACCACGCCTCCCTCTCCACACTACACAGCCTGACAAACCGACGCTGAGACCTCTGTTCTTCCCTGCCGGTTGCTCGAAACCGGGAAGTGCCTGAATAAAGGTTGTAATTCTAAGTGCAAGCTTGGGGCTAGTAACTTAAACGGGCCAGAGTGCTACAGTGAAATCTAAGAAACACGCACGCCAAAAATCGTGCAACACTCTGTTTCGGCCGGTGTCCGCGGTCACCGCGTCCGGTCGTCGAGGGCCGAGCGCCTGCTCACCCTGCACTGTGCTGCCTCGCCGCGCTGTCATAGCAATTCGCCTGGCCGACCCGCTGTCGCGCCCGTGCCGTGGCTGAGCCGCTCTAGCCTCGCCCTGCCGTCGCCGCTTCTCCGGTCGCTGCCCTGGGCGGTCCTGCTGACCTGCTGCGCCTGCGCTGCCCCTGCTGCTTGGCTGCCGCATCGTGCTGCTGCCTCGCTGCCGCACCCGACCGTGCCCTCGTCGTCGCAACGCTCGACGGCTGGCCGGCTCACCCGCTGCCGCGCATGCCTCTGCTGCACGCTGGCTCCACCGTTAGCTCATGCAGACATGGGAGTAGGATCGGGGAGAGGTGCGTGCAGTGCAGTAGGGTAACTGTATATACGTGCTGTGCATGTATGTATGTATGAAAGCGTAGGAGTACCACGTACCTGGGGTATGGGCTGTTCTTGACGGCCTTCTGGCCGTACTGGCGCCACCGGTAGCCGTCCTCGAGGTGGTCGACCTCGCTCTTGGTCATGAACGCGAACCGCGGCTGCCGCTGCCGCTTCTCGCCCTTGCCCTTGCCGTTCCCCGCCGCTGACCTGCAACAAGAGTGGCGTGCGCATCGATCTCATCAGCTCCTCCCGTAAGCTAGCCGGGTCAGCGGAAAGTGATGCGGATTTCGTTCAAACTAAGATACGATACGTGATTGCGAGCGCGAGGTGCGTGGCCAGCTGGCTGGCTGGGCTGGCCTGGATCCCGTTCAAACGCGGTGGTTGGCTGGGTGTGCGAATCAGCTACACTAGAGTAAGCACATGGTCGGTGACATTGTGGAAACTTGCTACTCCGTAGACAATACGTGTGGCTTAGTACTCACTACTCCTGTTGGTAATGATTTCAGCAACGTTCTACCACCCCAAGAGAGAGAGCTAGCGAGATGGAAGCCGCCGGCGCCGGCCCCGGGGAACGAGCGCCGAGCGCTCCGCGCAGGCCGTCCCTGCCGTGGAAGGTGCGGTCCTAGCTCTTGTGCCTCGACGTGGTCGCCAGCTTCTCGATGCGTCGCGACCGCACGCTCAACCACCCCTTCTTTAGCTTCTTCGACCGCCGTGCCCGCGCCAGCGCGCGCCCGGACGTGCACGGCGTCCGGTCCGCCGACGTGGATGTGGAAGCGTCGCGCGTCCTGTGGGCGCGCATGTTCTCGCGTCAGAGCCCGCTTCCGCCTCGCCGCTCCCCGTCGTGGTCTACTTCCACGGCGGTGCCTTCGCGCTGCTCTCCGCGGCCTCGGTTCCCTACGACGCCATGTGCCGCCAGTTCTGCCGCGAGCTAGGTGCCGTCGTCGTGTCCGTCGAGTACCACCTCGCCCCCGAGCACCGCTGCCCCGCCGCGTACGAGGACGGCGTCGACGTGCTCCGACACCTCACTTCCACGGGCCTTCCCGACGGCGTCGCCGCCCGGTGGACCTCTCTCGCTGCTTCCTCGCCGGGGACAGTGCCGGCGCCAACATCGCCCACCACGTGGCGCAGCGCTAGACGACGGTCGGCGTTGCGTCCTCGTCCCCGCCGTGTTCCAACCCATTCCGCCTTGCCGGTGTCGTCCTGGTGCAGCCGTACTTGGGCGGCGAGGAGCGGACGGACGCGGAGGCCAGGCTGGACGTGAAGGTGCCGGTAGTGACCGTGCGGGGCTCGGACTGGATGGGGTCAAAACTGCTCAACGTCGCTCAAAACAGTCTTACTCTGGCCCAGTTGCTAAAAGTGAACGGTTTTAACAGTTGAGGTACTGGTACTAGACGGTTTTATAGTTGAGAGTTAAAATTAGACCAACATAATAGTTGAGGGGTCAAAAGTGGACTTAATCCCCTCATAAAACATTAGGCTAGCATAATAACGAGGAACTGGTTTATAAAAAAACATTCCATATATTATAGATCAACAAGGCCCCATTTTGATCTTTGGAATTGAATTTCATTCTAATAATCATAATTTAAATACAAATTAATTAAGCTAATATAGTTGTATCTGGAATATATTTGTATATT